TTTGGCTTGACAAGCATAGCCGTTGTAAAGGCAGTAAAATGTATACATCATCATTAAATGTGTGAAATGTAAAGATCATGCTGACAAGGGAAATGGTGAGATTAAATAGATTTTACAAATATCTCGCGACGGCTGTTAAAGTTCAACGCAAGGCGTGCCTAATAAAACGCAAAACTCCAATAGTGGTTTGGATCTGTATTATTATTAGACATCTTAATCTTAATCTGAGATTTGTAATAATCGTACGTCTTGTGGCTTTGTTTACAAGCCTGTGGTTCATATTTATGTCAGTCTTCCCAAAATCCTTTTCGGGAAACCTTTTCTATACAGAACGCCTTTTTTGAGTGTGATACAATTAATATGTTGAGCTCATTATTACATTGTTTGATTGTGATACAATTGCGCGTGTCTGATTGTCTAATATGTCGAACTGCTCATTATTCCTTTGATGTAATACTTTGATTTTAACTTGCACCAATCTCAACCTCCAACAACAAACAATTACGACAAAGACACTGGTCATGAGAGGAAACAGGTACACCTTTAGCGTTCAATCGTAGGTGTAGACAATAAAAGAACGCAACTCCTCATTAGAGGAAACACCTTCAACAAGTCTTCTATTACACAATGCTGATTTTGTGCTTGTATACGTTTCGTAGGCTAAACTCACCGCCCCCAACTAAATGCTTATAATCACATGACCAGGGACAGTGTTCTCGTTAGAAGTTAATGCAATTCGTATAGATAATTAAAAATTCTGCAGGAAACGATTTATCAAAAGTCTCATCTTGACAGACATAATAATAATGGCTCATCTGCAGGCAAATTCTCTTAAATATTCATAACCAAATCAGGTACTCCCAAACTTCCGTACCCTCCTTGAAAATCCATAATAATAAGCAATTTGACTGACATCACGTTCAAGGAATATTCTGCTGACGTTAATTACTAGCCACTCATTTTGAGTACTTTATAATGGAATTACAACGACTTTGATGATATTACATTCGTGATGTAAATTAAACTGTTACCGATTGTTATCTCGCGATACCGAGAGACCACGTTTTTATTCATTATTGACTTCTCGTATATCGCTGAATCCAATTTGATCAACTTCAATTACATTCCGCGCGCCTTCCTCTTTAGAGATAGAGGTAGGTGAATGAAACTGCTTTGTATTTAAGCGCTTGCTTCGATGTTTTGGATCAGCAGGAGCAAAGCAGTAGCTATAGTCTATAGTCTGTACTTGACGACGACTAACTTGAACAGCAGAACTACTTGTAACCAGCCAAGACTCAAAACGCATAGCACTATCAGACGGAAATAGAGGCGGTCATTGAGCTACTGAAGAGAAAAAAACTGTATTATCCAGATTACCCAGATTCTCTTGAACAATTTACTGAACCTTACATTCACACATTGGTCGTACCTGCACAGGGGACAGCTTAATTGCATATTCCTTAGTATTTGTACCGAGTGACGTCAGCGTAGATATGTACTTATAAATAAAGAACGCCATAAGCGAAGTAGCAGGATGAATAAAATTAACATCACTTTGGTGAGAAGAAAATACGGTCTACTTACTTCATGGGATTCAACGGCAGCATTGTTACCCCTCTTTATTTGCTTTCATAGTCCTTGCCAGTCTTTTTTATTAGTTTGTCGAGATTGGCCACGTTGTTGTCATGAGCTCGCTCATCTTTCTTTAAAGATTTCAATGGTAATTTAAGACGTTCATATTTACAATTGCACAGATCCGTTAATCATCAAGACTAACGTGAATCATACATTTGACCTTGTGCTACTTACAATCGCTTTCTTAGAATACTTGTCCCAAAACTTCGTGAGTATGTCAAAGTCCTTTTGTCTAACTTTATGCTATAATAATAATAGATTGTCACCTGGTTAGTTCGATGCTGCCATCTTGAACCAGACCACAAAAAAGCGCCCAACCACAACTTACGAGCTTTCCTTGAACATCAGCCAAGCCAACATAAAACTGCGACGTCGACTGAAGACACATGTCGATATCAGTTAGATTTGCAATTCCATCAAAACGCTCCTTTACAGTGTCCATACTCCTTGAGCGTCTCGATACGTGTCCGCAGCCGACACGTGCGTCGACGGTCAAATAAACCGCTGTGGTCAAAGAAAGAATGGACTGATTTGTCGCTGGTGATATTATGATACTGGAAAGCGTGGAGAAGAAACGAAGAATGAAAAGCGATTTTTCTTTTGTTGTGAAGTCATGAGTATTTAGTTATGGGAATTGGTGGCAAATGTTCTAAGTCTTAGTTGTTAGGAATGAATTAATGTCATTAGACGAAGAGTTGACTATGGACTGTTTGACTAATTTCTAGATTATTCTTGTATTACATTACCACTTTTGTCTTTTTGTGTAATCGAAGTATCAACAATGTCAGTCATCATTTATAAACAACGTGAAGACATACTCGTACTCGTGTATAATTAAACAAATGAAAGCTAATAACCAGAAACGCACGCACGATAACGACACGTCCTCGTCTCCTGTTTCGCCCAAGAAGCAGAAGATCAGAGACAAGGACTCTGGTAAAAACACTCGAACGTTTTCTACCAGAGATAAGTTCGATACAAGATTACTGTCCAAAATAGTGTGGGTGATGTGCGAAACCAGAGGGCTTTGGTGGCCTGGGGAGGTAAGCCGAACAAACGCGCTTGCAACTTTCTGCGAGTCGCCACTTTATCTTTGCATGGACATTGGCCCACCATTACTATGCCTGAGTTGAACCCTTCATTTATTATAGATAATAAACGAGAACAAGTCTGAAATCCCTCTCAAAATAAAATGCTTCGGTCGGACAAAACCAAAGTCTGTAATATCTGCAACATTTTTTTTATCAATGAAGCATATATAGACTAACTTCCATCATTCGAAACAAAGCACAATAGCAATTTCCGATCCATCTTCAGAGCGCATCGTCCCCTTCCGCCATTCGTTATCGCCCACATTTCGCGAAGATGGAATAAAGTCTAGTCGAAAAGACGAATTTTTAAGGGCCTTTGAACTTGCTCAAGAGAAAGATGTCGAGGATAATGATGGATTACCTACCGCATATTGGGCAATACAAACTGTGGTCTCTCAGAAATCGCAAAGGAAAAGGATAGGTCGGTTAATTATGGAAAGCCATTCGAGAACGGTAAATTGCAATAGGATTGCTGCTTCCTGATCTGATTTATTGGTATTCCGGAATCTTGTCTGTTTCATAAGATAAGCCTATAGCATTTGGACAGTCAAACGATAACTATTCAAATTTGGATCATGAGTAAGTTAAATTTAAAGGCGAATGGCTGTTGTAAGGAATTTAGGTTTAATTTTCGTTGACTTTGCTGTAAGCAAGATGCAAGACGGTTATTCTACCGAGCTATCAGAGTTGGATGCGAGGTAAAGTATCATAAATTAATTGACACTTTAGTGGTATTTGCATAAAATCATAAAATCTAATTGGCCAACTCAACCAGTTTGAAGATA